AGGCAGGGGACCCCTGTCTCCGGCCCTAGCCCGAAAGCCCAAGTGGATTCCCTGATCCCGGCCCGAAGCCTGTTCGAGGAATCCCAGAAAAAATCCCGTTCCCCAAACAATCCCCGAATTCCCCATTTTGGGGTTTTTTTTTTTGTATTTTTGTATCCTTAGTTTTATTATCTTNTTGCTGTCTCTGCGGCTGTCCTTCGCCATCACCTCCTCCTCCTACTGCCGGCGGCGCCATCGTCTTGTCTCAGCTCTATTGCAAACTGAGATTGAAACAAACTTGATGCGATCGAATGAAACAAGGGACGGGACTGGGAGTTGTTTATTTATTCTAAACCAAAAGTTCTTATTGTTGCAGAGACGGGTTCGGATTCAAGTAACAGTCGCGGCCACGCCAGCATTTCAAAAATATCAGGGTCCCAAAAGATATTTTTATTTTTAAATACAAGTTTTTAATGACACTTTCTTTTTAATTAACGTGGATATAAGATAAAAATTAAATAATAAGTATGTAACTAATAACATCTCCAAATGGCTCTTTATATGATCCAAACTCTTTATTATAAAGAGTTTATCTATAAAAATAAGAGTTTAATAAACTTTTTATTCTTTAAATATAAATTAAAGAGTGGGTTTAACTCTTTACATTTAGAGAGTCAATTTTTTACTCTATATCCTAATTTTAAATAATAAATTGTAAGTTTCTATGCATTTTATTTATGATTTATCCCTCCTATTAAGTTTTTTTCCTGAAAAAAAATATACTCTCTCCTAAAATTTAAAGAGTCTATGGGATTTGAATAAAAAATTTGTTCATTATATTTAAAAATCAATAAAGATGCTCCTTATTTACATGAAATGTGCTCTTTAAAATAAAGAGCACCATTGGAGATGCTCTAAAGGCATCTCTAAATGACTCTTTATATGATTCAAATTCTTTATTATAAAGAGTCTATCCATAAAAACAAGAGTCTAACATGCTCTCTATCTTTAAAATATAAATTAGAGAGTGAGTTTGACTCTCCATATTTAGAGAGTCAAATTTCACTCTCTATCATAATTTTAATTAATAAACTACAAGTTCCTATGTATTTTATTTATTAATTCTCTTTCCTATTAAGTCTCTTTCTTAAAAATAAAGAGTATCTTCATTAAATTTAAAGAGTCGATTGAATTTGAATAAAAATTGTGTTATTTATATTTAAAAATTAATAAAGATGCTCTTTATTTATATGAAAGATGCTTTTCAAAATAAAAAGCACCATTAGGGATAGGTACGGGCCGGGGCGGGGCTAGGGACTCCTGTCTCCGGCCTCGACCCGAAAGCCTAAAGGATTCCCTGATCCCGGCCCGAAGCCCGTTCGAGGAATTCAAGGAATCCCCGAATTCCCCGTTTGGGGTTTTTTTTTGTATTTTTGTATCCTTAGTTTTATACTTTTATTATTCTTTTCTCCAAATTATATATACCAAAAAAAAAAAAAAATGTAATATACATATTAAACGTAAAGACAAAAAAAAAAATTAAATATATAATTAACAATTTTATTAGGGTAGGGCAAAATCCAGAAATTATACATATTAATATTTTTTTTGTTCAAATGCCCACCCTCAAGTCCTCAACAAGTATTGGATCCGCCCCTGATTAATGATTATAATGAATCAAAATATCAAAATGATCATTATAATACATTAAATATATATATATTATTTAACAGTATAATATTTTGTATTAAGTAATAAGTATACATATATAATGTCTCTTTAATATATAATATAATGTATTATATATGATACATTATACATATATATTATAATAAATTTTAAATAAATAACTACCATATATATTATAATAAATTCTAAATAAATAGCTATCACAATTCACAATATAACAAAGGCAATTGGGTAATAGAATTGAAAAAATGATTTAACGAGGGACAAAAAAAAAATTATTGTGATTTATTGATTCATTATAANATTGAGTTAGTCAAGAAAGCTGGAATAGGCCATTGGTTATTCACATGACAAAGCATTTTGCCACCTACACTGGAAACAACACAGTAAATTGGCAAGACAAAGGGGAAGAGAAAGAGATGTGGGGGATCATGAAGTCATGGGGTCACATAAGTCGTTTAATCTTATCTTATCCAAAAATCTCATCACCAATTAGGTTCCAACAACTGTATTTATAACAATTATATTATAATTGTCAATGTTTTATCATCTTCTTGGGTAAATTGCTTTATATCAGGCAGGCTGGGAAAGTGGGTTAAGTTGAAGTGACATGCTTTGGGGTTTTGCACTGATTAATATTTTTTATAATCTTCTGTTAGTGCAACCACCGTTAGATTGACCACATTTAATGGCCTACATTAGTGCTTTTTTGGAGCACTTCTTTTATTAGTCCAAGAGAAAATGATTGAGTGACATAAGATTGCGTATCAAATCTGTACACCAAATAATATGATAAAATCTTGATCGTTAATTAATTTTAACGGATAATGAATCAACAGTTAGGATTTTACTATGTTATTCGGTGTATAGATTCGGTGTGCAACTTCCGATAACTATAGCATTACTCTTAGTCAAATACATTCAATGTTATATATAAACACTTTTTTAAAAACGCTATACAATAAAAGCTATTTATAATATTACTCTCTATAAAAATAAACTTTATATAGTTATAAAAAATTCTATTTCTAATTTGAGATAGTTATAAATAAGAATAAACTTTATATTATAATAAGTTATAATTTTTTTAATTCCTGTCTTAAGGAGAGTTGCCTCCACATAGTAATAATTATCTGTATATTGAAAAAAAAAATATATGTTACCTTACATTAAAGGTTTAAAATGAAATAAAATATTTATCTAAAGTTGTTTGGAAGAATAATTTATGTTTTAAAAATGTTACCATATTTTTTAACTTACGGGTACATTATTTGCTAGCATGTACATCTTCTTGTTGAAACCAAAATATTTATAGTTTCTCAAGCATGTTTAGAGTTTATTGACACAAAACTTTTTGTATTTCCCTACGATCATCTTCATGATTATTTCATTTCTCTTTTTGTCTAATTGTAACAATGATTTCTTCTTCAGTTAAAGTATACATGACTTGTTGCTCATTTGAATGATTGAGGAAGACATTATATATCTGTTCGATTAATGTAGTGAAGTTGTTGAATCTAATCACTCAATTCTACAATGATTCTTTGATTCTCCTTATCCACTTTATTTGTAACTTGCAATTAATCGACATCCGAGGTCCTAATTTTGTAATGCTTAAAACAATTGGTAATTGTCTATGACTTCACATTAATTTGATCATGCAGCAATTGCATTTACAATTTCATCAATGACACTTATCTTTGTTGGTTCCAAGACACAATCCTCTATCCGTTTCAAAAGTAGGCAATTGAAGCGCTGAATTGAAATCCTAATATTGTTAAAACATTAATTGAAATCATAATACTGTACTACAAAAACATGAATTATAACCTAATCTAACAATTATCTCTTACAATCTTAACGTGACAATTGAGTTGACAACTGTCACGTCAGTTTCTATTACACCTAAGATACTAATTAACTTTGACTAAACATGAACGATCGTCCATTCTTTCATAAGGAATGATTGTTTCTTCTGAATAGACGAACATTCCTTATGAATAGAATATGATTGTTCCTTACGAATGAACAACTATTCCTTATGAATGGAAAAATCATTTTTTTATGAATGAACGTTCGTTTGTCTCTAAGGAACGATCGTTGATGTTTACTTAAAATTGTCAGTTGATGTGGTAGTATCAACTCTACTATCACGTTAGAGTTGTAAGATAAAGTTGTGAGATTGAGTTGTAAATATAATATTTTTGAATCTTACAAACTATCTCTCATAATCTCTAGATGGCAACTCCTCGTTTTTGTTGATAAATTTTGAATTTTAGGAAATTCATAAGTAAAAAAATTGGAGATTATCATCTAAGGTTGTGAGAGAAAATTTATGAAATTGTGTTACACAAAAGCACATTTTTATTAAGAAACTACATCAAGAAATCAACGGTCAGAATCAGGCAGTACAAGTTAATTCTATAGCAGGCAACCTCAGTTAGATTAATTATATTATAATTTATTTTATATAAGGCAGGCTGGGAAAGTAGGTTAAGTTGAAGCGACCTGCTTGGGGTTTGCACTGATTTGTATTTATTCAATTAGTGCCACCACCGTTAGATTGACTTCCTAATGGCCTTCATAAGTGCTTTTTTGGACCTCAAAAAGCACTTCTTTTATTAGTCAAATACATTTAACGTTATATACAAATGTTTAATTAAATAAAAATAAAAACACTTTTTGAAAATGAGAGAGAGAGAGAGAGAGAGAGAGACAGAGTAATATTAGGTCTATCATCCAATCGCAGCAATCTCCTCTTACCACTTTAACGTGATAATTAAACTGATAATTCTCGTATCAGTTTTCATCACACTCGAGACTTTAAATAATTTTGATTAAATATGGATGATTATACATTTCTTTACTATTTTTTATAAAAGAATAAACGATCATTCATTATGAATGGAATAACTATTCCTTATGAATAAATAATCATTCAGTTTCTTGAGAATGACCATTCTTGTTTAGTCAAAGTTGTCGATTGATATAGTAGTATCAACTCTGTTGTCACGTTAGAGTTGTAAGAGAATGTTGTGAGATTGAGTTATAAACGTAATATTTTTTAATCTCACAATCTCTATGTGGCAGTTTTCAGTTTTTTGCTAATAAATTTTGAATTTTGGAAAATTTATAAGCAAAAAATTGGGAGACCTCACTTCAAGGTTGTGAGAGAAAGTTGGTGTGATTAAGCTATAAATGTGATTTTTTTTTTTTTAATAAAGAAACTACTTCAAGAAATCAACGGTCAGAATCAGGCCGTACAGGTTAATTCCATAGCAGGCAACCCAGTAAATCAAACGGCCACAATTTTAAGTTTCAACTATAAACTCCAAAACCTTCTATATTCTTACCAAACTTTTGAACTTGTCAAAACCAAAACTTAAAGAGCTTCCAACTTCTTCGTCTTCAAACTTAAACCAGAAAACTCAAATGGGGTATTACAGAAGGAGCAGCATCTTTGATTCATTCAGTCTGAGCCCACTTCCCTACCCAGTTCTCTTGCTCTTAGCCCTCCCATTAATCTTTCTTGGCATATCGTCTTATTTCAGCTACGAGGAAGCTCTTGAAACGGCCGAAGAACAGCTCAGTTGGGTGCTTTTTGCCACGCCGGTTTTGTTGATTCTGCTCGTTCGTTGGCTGTCATCCATGGAATACTCAGACATGTACTTCACCTCTTCCTCGCCTTGGGACAAGCGCCGCCGGACCCACTACCAGCCGTCGGAGGGAAGCTCACCGTGGGGTGTGGCCGCCATAATCTTGTTGCTTCTTGTTCTTGTGCAGTTCCAGTCTAGCTTTCTGGATAGCTGGTTCTGAGAAATAAATCAATATATTTTAGATAAAAAAAAAAAGGTAATTAACTAATCAATAACACATATATGGTTTTGTAAATAATAGAGTTAATTAATGGGTGATTAGTATGTATAATTAAGTCCATCTGGGTTGTTTGTTTTATGTGGATTTTATGAGATATATATATATAAAGCAAGTTCTTTTTTTTTTTTTTTTTCCCTTCCTTTATATGTTGTTTGTTGAAGCTTAATTAAGTTGATAAATTAATCAGGTTCTTAAACTTAATTTAGGGTTTCTTAATTTTCCCAGAAAGTTAAAGCTTTATCAAGTAATAATTTTGGTAGAGGATGTGATTGATTTTATTATTGATTATGTGGACTATATGGTATATGGGCCATCGCCTAATTTATTTCGAGTAATAATGCTGACAACTGACAAGTTATCAATCACTTAAGTTACAAGCAATTTAATTATTATTATTATTATTTTTAACCGAAGTGTTCGGAGTAGTTTTCCGATTATTTTTTTAGGGTTTTAAAGTTAAACGACCGGTTAACTCTTTTAAGTAATATACACAAAATATATACAAAAGTCTTTATCGTCGTATTAGATGATTTTTCAAGCAAAATGTTAATTAAAAGAAAGATGGCAAATTAGATATTAATAGGAATTAGGTTTTGATTTTTTCACTATCTAAAATGGGCAAGGAAGAGTAGTTTGTTGATTATTTTTTCAGGGTTTTAAAGTTAACAATCGGTTAAACTCTTTATTGGTCATCTCTATTAATAATAGAGAGAGATCTCTTAAGTAATATATACAAAAGTCTTTATCGTCTCATCTGACCACTCAGTGGTGGTTCTTCAAGCAAAATATTAATTAAAAGAAAGATGATAAATTAGATGTTAATAGTAATTAGGTTTTGATTTTTAAAGTGTCTAAAGTGGGTAAGAAATAATGTTAATAAGTTATCAGTCACATAAGCTTGAAGCATTTTTTTTTTTCGGGGTGTTTAGACCAGCTTGTACACACCTCGATTAATTTTTCGGAGTCTTGAAGTTAACCATCAGATAAATCTTCCAATCAGTAGCAGATCCAAAATTTTTTGTTAGGGTAGGTTAAAATAAAAACTAATTATATATTAATATTTTTATTAGGGTGGATCAAAATCTAGAAATTATATATATTAGTATTTTTTAAAATAAAATTGAGGGTGGGCCATGAAGTAGGTTGGATCTGCTCTGCTTCTAATGATCATCTTTATTAGTAATCGAGAAAATTTTTTTAAATAATATATTCAAGAACCCTTATCGTCCCACCCGGGGTGATTCTTCGAGTAAAATGTTAATTAAAAGAAAGATGACAAATGTGATTTTAATAGTAATTAGGTTTTGATATCTTCACACAATTTATTGCCTCAAAACATGAGTGGCTAAAAGCAAGAGTGATTATTGTTTTTAGTACTACCGACATAACTTTTTTATTTTTTTCGTTTTCTTTAGATTAAATAAAAGAAGGGACTAGATGGTCAAACTACTTTATGACTAAATATCCTAAAAATCTTTATATTTGTTCATATAAAACCTCAAAGGCTAATGTAACTGAGAAATTCCTGTTTTAGCCCTTAGTTGATAATTCAATTATTAATTGATAAACCTACGGCTACGGTAAGAATGAAGAATGTCGGTTTCAAAATGAGAAACCATATATTATTGAAGAACATACAACTTTTTTCCACCCAAGGTTTGCCTTAATGACACTTTTCCACCCAAAAAGTTTCAAAATAACATTTTTTTCATCTAAAGTTTATATTCCGTTAATATCTAAAACCGATTCTGGTAGATTCCAATAGCAAAAATTCTCTCCGTCATTACCATTTGAACCTTCAGTCTCTTCTTTACAAAACCTCTCTCATTATAGTACCCGATTTCTCATCGATTGTCGATCATTATAAAGATAGAGTTTTTTTGTTTTTAGCTGATTTTTGGTTGATTCTGACGACAAATATTCAATCGGTTATCATCATCGATCCACTGACCTCCACTCTACAAAACACCTCTTACACTGGTTGCTAGTAACTCGCTGAATATCGGCTGAAAAAATAAAGTGTATTTTGGGTATTAATAGAATATAAACTTCGGACGAAAAACTGGTATTTTGAAACTTTTTAAGTGGGAAAACGTCGTTAAGGCAAACCTTGGATAGAAAAAAGTCGTTTACTATATTATTGAATTATCAACACCTACCATATGCTTCGTGGTCCAATATTTATTCAAGGCCTGGCTGGCCCATTAAGATTAGTGCTTCACCTCCTCTTTCCATACATCAATTTAATAATCAATTCAATTATTTAATTACACTATTAAAACATTCAAACTATGTAAAATTTAATTAAATTTATGTGACTCAATACATCAATACAAGTACAACTTCATAATTTTGTGTCTTACAATATAACTAACTTAACTTCCTCCAAGCCACTTTGAATGAAATGAAGACTGATAAGAGACCAAAACCAGAAGCACCACCACTAGGCTGACAATTCCCCATGGGATGCCCCCTGCAGCCGACTGGTACATCGGTCCACGGTTGAGCCGTGGTAGCCGGAAGCCGTAACTTCCACCGGAAGAATAAGAAGCTATTAAGAGAATCAATAGAAGTGGCAACAGGAAGAGAAATAGCTGAAAGTTGACTGTTGTGATGTGCAACTGAGCCTTGTAGCCTGTGTATTGAGATACCCACAATAAGATAAAAACAATGCCAAAAATTGTAAGCAATGCTGGTGGTGGTGATGAAATTGAGGTGAAGGTTTGGTTTGTCCAGCCTTGTTTCCACTGTGGACCTCTTCTCTTGGGGTAGAACCAATCCATTTTTGTTTTGAAGTTTTGGGTTTTGTTTAACTTGTGTTTTGGGATTGAGTGGTTTATTTATACTAGTGGTTACTTAAAAGGGTTGATTTGGTTTGATGTAAAGTTTGGTTTGGGATAAATTCTTTGAGTGTAGAGTCTCTCTTGAAGAACTTTTTGGTTTGGACGTGTGCACACTCAACTGTTTGATACCAAATTAAATTTCCATGAAATTGCCAGATTCTTAAGTTTTTGGTAATCTTTAAGCACAAGGGCTATAGTTTTAACACCTGCATCTTCAATAAACTTAGTATTTTGCTGCTGGGATTAAGTTTTATCATGCTCAGGATAGTAAGTTATCTGATAATTTACAGATTTATAGTACTTGAGTATCTGAGTGAAACCTTTCAAAATGCATCACTATATAACTCAGAAAACCAAACATGGTACTCAATATGGGCACCTCTTTCCTCTTGACTATTAAGTTATGATTTTTGACCTAAAACTTTTAAGTTATCATGTAAGAGTCTAACATTAATATTTAAGTTTGATAAATCCTCCCACGTAATGATACTCGGTTAAGCTACCATTTGATCTAAAAATTTAAGTTATCAGGTAAGAACTCAACATTAATATTTAAGTTCAATATGTGAATTCACGTCGAAATTTGTCTTTGATATCAAATTATCGTTTGACCTCTAAGCTTACAAGGTGAGGATCCAACATTAATATCCAAGTATAAAATTGTTCTAAGCATATATGAATTGGAAACAGAAGAAGAAAATAGTTCAAACTTTAAACACACTCAGTATAGAGAAAGCAAAACTCACCTATATGAGGCCAAGTGCCCATTGATGCCTTGGCCAGAGACATATGGTTGCATTACCATTCTTGGGGAAGTGGAAGCATCCTCAATCTTTCAGGGACTGTCGTTAGATTTTTGCAATCTTCAACGCTGAAATGCTTGAGTCTAGGCATAGCTCCTGACTCCACCTCTAACGTCTCTAAGAGCCACAACCAAGAAATCCGTAGAACTTGGAGTTGAGAAAATCCTGTTTCAGAGAAAACCATTTTGTATCCTAGGAATGAGTTTTTTCCCATGTCAAGAATACTCAAGCTTGGCAAGTGTTCTAGTATTGGCATTGGATCTTCCTTCAGTGCTGAGCCATATAAAATCAAGATTGTGAGATTTGGTGGAAATTCATCCCTGTTCCCCGGAAGATCATCTATTTTTCCCTCCAACTTCAGTTTGATGAGATGTTGACATTGAGAAAGGAGATGCAGGTTAACAAAGGATGTTTTTGTCTGCAATGTTAAAGATTGTAGGCGTTTTAATTGCCAAATGGACTTCATATCTGCATAAGGTATCTCCCGAATCTCCAACTCTCGCAGATTAATTAGATTTGCTGCATCAATTTCAACCCATTGTCGATAATTTACATACCTCAGAGTCTGGAGGCTTGTTAAAGCGCTGACGTGAAGGTTTCCATGAGGACATGCTATGAGGTGTCTTAACTGATGAAGCTTAGCTATATCAGTAGGTAGCTTGCAGGGAGAATTACCAGTTGCAACCAGGGCAATTAGGCTCCTCCAGTGTCTTATGGATGATGGGAACTCCACTATGCTACTGCTTTTGAACCCGAAATACCTCAGGTGAATCAGCTTTCCCATTGCATCTGGCAACATCAAAACATTTCCTTTTGTACTGGAGGGTTCAATTCTTGTATCCTCAAGATCTAGCACCCTTAGTAATCTGAGTTTGAAGCATATAACTTTCAGATGCTTTACAAAGAGAGTCTCACGATCAGGATTGAAAAACAAAACTGATCGAAGCAGTGGAGTAGAATGGACTGATGAAACATATTTTGTGTTCCCAGAATGAGCAGCTTGTCGCCGACTTAACGAAGTAGAAAAGGGTGATGAGTTTATTTTGCCATCGTAGACATCAAGAAAATTTAGTGTCTTAGCTTTTCTGATTGCGAGTTCTCGTATAAGATCATGGATCCGACAAGCTTTAACCTTGTCCAGAGATCTTTCAGCTATTTGAATCATACTTCTGTCAATGAGCTCTTTCAAGTATTCTTCAGCAACATCCTCCATTTCTTCTTCTTCTTGCGGAATAAACCCCTCTGCTATCCACAACCGGACAAGTTTTTCAGTGTCAATCACATAGTCTTCAGGAAAAATGCTTAAATAGAGAAAACAGGACTTCAACTGATATGGCAATTCATAGTAGCTCAAGGCTAATATTGATGAAACATGATCCAAATCTCTTGTCAAATGCCACCATAGACGGTTCTTCACTGTATGCCATTCTTGTGGCTGTTTTCTTGACAGCAATCCACCCAAAACTACGATTGCAAGAGGCAAACCGCCACACTTTTCCACCATTTCCCTTCCCAACTTCTCTAGTCCTGGAGGACATCTACTTTTCTGACCATCAGTATTATCTGGAAATGCATTCTCACAAAACAGTTTCCAACTTTCCTCTTGCTTCAAAAATTGGAGTTGGTAAACATGGTTATTCTCATCTGTTATCCTCGCTACAGCCTTGTTGCGTGTTGTTATTATTACTCTACTTCTGTTTTCATTGTCAGGGAAGGCTCTTCTCAAGCTTTCCCAGGCTTCTTTATGCCATACATCATCAATAACCACACAGTATCGCCGCCTTTCCAAGAACTTGTAGAGATGTTGTTCCAAGTCCTCTTCGGTCATCATTTCCATCATTTCCAAGATTTCTTTTGTGGGCTTCTGAAAGGATTTTATTGTTTTCTGAAGAAGATCCCGTGTCGTGTACTCCTGAGTTACACAAACCCATGCCTGGCAATCAAATCTTCCTTTTATATCATTAGAGTTATAGAGCTTCCGAGCAAGAGTTGTTTTGCCCAACCCACCCATTCCTAATATTGAAATCACACATCGTTGCAGCTCATCTTTAAGAAGTTGGTTGACTAATACCCTTGCGTTCTCCTCAAAACCAACAACCTGCTCTTTGCTAGAATTGGAGGAGGTCCTTCTTATCTGTCTGAATCTTTCTGTCAAACTGCTGCTCCTGTCTATGTTGCTAGAGTTTCTTATACCATAAGTTTCTGTACTGCGAGATATATCAAGGATCCTATCCTTCAGCCCTTCTATATTCTTGCCAATACTGTATAAGTTCACCCCTCGGTTTAATATGCAAGCANAAACAAGTAAAATTTATAGAATAAAAAAAACTTGTAAATAATATATGTAGTAATTAATCAAATTCCATGTACAGTGGAAATAATTAATTAAACTTTTTTAGTGTTTCTTTTATAAAGTCAAAAAAAAAAATTATACAATAAAAAAAAATTTGTAAATAAGCTATTTGCATAGTGTTTCTTTTATAAAGTCAAACTGTTGTGCGCTTTCTGTGTAATAATGCGACTTAATTCTGTAAATAATTAATATGATATAGGCGCGCCGCGCGCGTGATGTAAACTGGCTGAGTGGTCGGTTAAGTTCATTCTCTATGATATTTAGTTTGTACATGTGCACCATTTTTTAAATATTGAACGAGCGACTCTATGCGGGTGGATGTCAGAATTTCGTGACAATTTGTTTGAGCGCTTTGCGCGTGAACTTGTGGACTACTATAAAGGTCACTGGAAGAAACGAGAAAAATGTCAGGCTCCCACATAATCCTTCATCGTTCTCTTGAAACTCAAAACCCTGCCTCTATCCAAAGGTTTTAGTCTCTCTCTTTTCACTTACAGTCCCTTGAAGTAACGAGAGAGATGCCACCTAATCCTCCATCGTCCCCCTGCCTTCCTCCAATGCTTTTAGTCTCTCTTTTCACTTTTCTTTTTCATTAGATTCACATTCATTTTTAAATTCGTACAAATATGGTGAGAATTTGCATGGGCAGGGAGCAAAACTTTATTTGTTTGGCGCAATTCAATGAGGCCTTTAAACTCTACATTCCAGTGCTTGTGGTTTTTTTACAATTGAATCCTCATTCGCAATCGAAAATTCTTCCAGCAAATTTGTACTCTTTTTCTTTTATAATGGCCACACTCATTTTCTCTCTCTTTTTTACTGCTTACATCAAGCTTAATATTTCTCACCCCAAAAAATATCAAATAATGGCTTTCATATCATGATTTCTGATGATATGTCCAATTAAACAACAGGGAAGCATACGAAATGCTTGGACAAATGATGAATAACATGTTTAATGAAGCTTGTGAAATGCTTGGACAAAAGATTAAAAACATGTTTAATGAAGCTGACGAAATGTTTGGACAAAAGATGGAGAACATTAAGATCCTCGAAAAGATAAGCTGCTTATGGAGCAAAAACGAGTCAAGACTTCCAAGAGATGGATGATATATTTAATTAATGAATCAAAATTTTTAATTTTGCATGTGTTGTTGTATTCACCCGTTACACACGGGAA